AAAACTCATCTATCTTGCAAATGGAAAAATTGAGTGTCCAAGTCACGAGTATTTTTTTACTTTTTATTTTGAAATAATTTCAAATTTATAGAAAAGTGATAAAAATAGTAGACAGAAGCCTGTATATCCTTTACCCAGATTCATCAAATGTTAACGTTTTGCCCCATTCACTTTCTCAATCTCTCTCCTTTCACTGGGACAAGAAAGTGAGGCACAGAGAAGTTAAATAACTTGGCCAAAATCATCCTACTAGAGTATGACAAACCTGAACTTCAGCCCCAACAGTCTGCCACAAGATGCTTCCATCAGTTCCTTCTCCCTCAAGTAAACCTCATCAACTCTTACAGGCATTCGGTCTGGTAAGTGAGTACCTGGTCTTTTTGATAAGTTGTCACATGGTTATGATGTTATGAAATATGTATTTGGGCTTGTTCCTGCTTCTTGACATACAGCTTCTAAAACCCTTTGGAATCTCCAGAGTGATGAGTGTCTTTAATATGCTATGAGATTACTTATGGCTAGGGATCCCTAAGTGGCTTCAGTATGGGGTCTGGTCACCAGAAATACCAAGGCATGATTAGACAATTGGGACTTAAAGTCCCACCAATCAACCTTCACCGAGGACAGTGGGGCTGACCAATGGCTCATGACTTAATCAATCGTGCCTACATGATGAAGCTTTCACAAAAACTCAAAATGACCCGGGTCAGGAGCTTCTAGATAGCTGAACACGTGGAAAGTCCTGGAGGGTGGCACATGCAGAGAGGTCGTGGAAGCTCCGTGCTCCTTCCCACACGCCTTGCCTATGCATCTCTTTCTTCTGGCTGTTCATGTGTATCTTTTGTAGTATCCTTTATAATAATCCAGTAAACATAAGCAAGTGTTTCTCTGAGTTCTGTGAGCCATCCTAGCAAATCTGTTGAACCCAAGGAGGCAGTAGCGGGAATCTTGACTTCTAGCTGGTCAGTAGAAACATAAGTGACAACCTATAACTTGTGACTGGTCTCTGAAGTGGGGGCAGTCCTGTGGGGCTGAACCCTTGCTCTGTGGGATCTGATGCTATCTCCAGGTAGATAGTGTCAGAATTGAATTAAATTATAGGACACATAGCTGATGTCTTCTAGAGAATGTATTGGTTGCTGGTGGGGACAAATCCCTATATATTTTGGATACCAGAGGTGAAATGTTCTGTGTCGGCTATGTGAAAATGATTTGGTTTGGTTTTTCCTTAGTGGGCTTTTCCTTCTAACTTGCTGGTATAGGTAAGAAAACCAATAAGAAAATGTCCTTGTCTAACTTTATAAGCCCCACATTGTATATCTGAGCCGGGTAGGAAAAGGTGACCCAGAGGAGCAATAAGTTAGCAACAGACAACAGTACCCTGAAAGCAGAAACTGACAGTGTCTGGACACATTGTCACGGTCATATTGAGCAAGTTAATTATTTACTCAGCTGGCAGAAGTAAGTATTACATTTTTAATTGTTACCCACTTTAACCAATATTTAGCTAGTGCTCTCTGCATACAGAGGACCATATTAAGCATTTTGGAAAAAACTCAAACGCAAGAAAGGGTCTCGGGGAGCAATACACGCTCATGAGAAAAAAAAAAACGTGAAGCATATTTAAAAAGAAGTACACATGTGTTGATAAATTAGTATCATACCAAAAAATTAAAAACCTCCACTGTTCACACAAGCCCTGAGGAGCCATTCGAGTAGGGAAAGTTTAAGAAGCTAAGTTTCTCCTTGATGGTGTAAGGTTTTAAATGGATTTAGAAAACCAAGGGGCTATGTGGAGTTTAGAGTGCCATGAATGGGGTGAAGGTGCAGAGTTGGGAGGAAACCAATGCATGTGGACCTAGAAGGGAGGAAAGTCATAGGCTCGCCTTGGAAGGCTGAAGGAGGCTGACACCATGTTGAATGATAAAAAATCAGCATTAATTCATTCACCAGATGGGTTGGAATAATGCAGATGAACTCAGGGTCACAGGTATCAGGATGGGGAGACTCTCTAAAGCAGGGGAGGTTTTGGGCTTGGGGAGTTCTGTTTTATTTTACTTTTTGACAACGTTAAACCAACTAAATAAGCATGAAAGAGGAGTATGAAAACAGCTCACTGTCTCAAAGTTAGAAGAAAAGCATGGGAGACTTTAGAGAACAGGATGTGTTCATAGGTGGTAAAGCTGAAGCCAGGTGGCAGTGAGTTCAAGTGAAAGTGGATGACAAGGAAATGGAGGTGGAAATGTAGATTTTCCCCACTCTATACATTTTTTCATGGATAGATATAGAAAATGAAATGATAATTAGACACTGAAGTGAGGTCAAGGAAGGGGTATTTTTTAAATAAGGAGACAACACTACAGACTGGCCACAAATTCCCAGAGACTGTGTCTAACCAGAGCTGTTGGTATTAATATAAAATCAGATAGCTGGGCATGGTGGCTCATGTCTATAATCCTAACATTTTGGGAGGCTGAGGTGGGCAGATCGCTTGAGCCCAGGAGTTCTAGACCAGCCTGGGCAACATGGTGAAACCCCAGCTCCACAAAAAATAGAAAAATTAGCTGGGTGTGGTGGCAGGTGCCTGTAGTCCCAGCTACTCAGGCGACTATGGTGGGAGGATCACCTGAGCCTGGGAGGTCGAGGCTGCAGTGAGCCGTGATCATGCAACTACACTCAAACCTGCATGACAGAATGTCTCAAAGCAAACAAACAGCTTTTAAGGACTGCTTCTATGACTTCTGTCATTAGGAAAATATTCAGAAGTAATAGGAAGTATGAGAAAGATGAACATTTGTGCAGAAAAGAAGAAATCATAGAAATAAAACTTCAGACTTGTGCAAAAGGTCACATTGCATAGCTTAAACTTAAAAGGGAGGAACGAGGAGAATGTGATCAGATGAAAATAGCAAAGTAATGAAAAATTTTACATATGAAGCTTAAAGGCAAACTTAGAGATTATAGTAAGCACGGCAGGCATTGTCAGCACTCAGCAGGTGTTACTCTACAGGACGACATTACTGTAGAAGCAAAGGCCTTACTGAGGGATCCAAAGCACAAGCAGAAACACTGACTTCTTCATCACAGCTCAGAGTTTTGATAAAGAACAGAGATGGATTTATTTACTAATTCAATAAAACACTGCTAAACACTAGGGGCACATAAATGAATTTAATACGGCTCCTTCCCTCAAGGAGCTCCCGATGCAATGGAACAAGCAGACACTGTAGAGTCCAATGAGACAATAGCTACCAAGAGCAAGGGCAAGAAACATAAAATGTAGGGTTCCACCCTGATATAGATTGTATCTGTGTTCCCACCCAAATTTTGTGTTGAATTATAATCTCCAGTGTTGGAGGTGGAGACTGGTGGGAGGTGATTGGATCATGCGGGCAGATTTCTTATGAATAGTTTAGCAGCATCCCCTTTGTACTGTCCTTGTAATAATGAGTTATCTTAAGATCTGGTTGTTCACAAGCATGTGGCACCTCCCCCCTCTCTTTCTTCCTCCTGTTACTGCCATGTGAGATGCCTGCTCCCACTTTGCCTTCTTCCATGATTGGAAGCTTCCTGAGGCCAGCCCAGAGGCAGAAGTCACTATGCTTCCTGTACAGCCTGCAGAATCATGAGCCAATTAAACCTCTTTTCTCTATAAATTACCCGGTCTCAGGTATTTCTTGATAACAATGTGAGAGGGGACTAATACCCAGTAGAGTGAGCATCCCAGAAACCCCTGGGTTGCAAGCCCTCTTTTATCAGGAAAGGCTCCTGGATCCATCCTGCTGCCCTTTGGCATTCTGGGCACTATGCTGCTGTGACAATGCCTCTAACACCTCCCCACCCTAGTGAGACCATCTTAATTGATTGCTGCAGTTGCATCCCTGCTGTCACCACCAGGTCCACCACAGGTGACCAATCTTGCTAGATGGAGCTTGTTGCTGTTATTACCAACAACTTTGAGGGGTCTACACCTCATCAATTTTGGAGCTTACTTATTGGCACCCACCGTAGTTGTCTGGCTCCTAAAGATTTTATTTTTAAAATAAAAATAAATTTTATTTTAAAATGAGTTTTTATTTTAAACTCCTTCAACTGGGAATGGGATTAAGTAGATGGGATGAAGAAACACACATATAAATATTCTCACTCCTTTACTCATTGATCTGAATTTCAGTGTTCTGATGCATGAGCATCAATCCCCAACCCCCCCATGTCAAATCCAGTCCAGAGTCCTCAAGGCAACAGGCCAACTTGGCTTTCTCCAGGGACCCAGGCCTAGGTGCTTTGCTATTTTATTATGTAACAAGGAGAAGCACCTAAATCATAAGCATTAGTAAATGAAAAGTGATTGTGTAACGGTACCTCCAAATTTAACCAGCAAAGGAGAGGAAATAAAAGTTCTCCACATGTCCTTTTTACTAGAGAATCTCAAATCACTGTGACTCAGCACCTGTACTTTGTGGTCATTTGTACCTGATGCTAATTCCACTGTGACTCAGACATTGCTCCAAACAAGCTTTCTTGTCACATCCTACCACTGTTGTTAGGAAAACACATTCAATGAAGGAGAACGTATTTGTTATGCTAAAAGCAAAGAGAGAGAGAGAGAGAGAGTGCACAGCAGAAGCAGGTAGTCATCCAGTAGAGGTCAAAGTTCCCTTCCAAAGGATATTTGTCACTGATACACACTCCCTTATTTAAGCTTTTGCTGATTCATCATGCGCTCATCAAAACTTCACTGAGCTAATATTTGGAAATTCATTCGATATAGAAGCAAAGTCTAATATCGAATCCTAAGTGTGTGACTTGGTCTATTCATACCTGCGTGTATACTTGGTCCTGAGTCTAGGCACATACACACACTCATGAAGTGAGGTCAATGAATGGTTATTTTAAATAAGAAATAACCTACAAATCAGTCACAAATCCCCTCTGCACTGACATTCATATGTATACATACACATTCTCACATGAAAACTCTTTTAAGAAAACTTTTCAGAGGTATCAATGGTGTGAGCCCAAAGGTCCGACAGGTGTTGTAGCTTCTTCGCCTTCGTCAAATCTTCAATGGAACCTTTGTGAAGCTCAACAAGGCTTCAATTAACATGCTGAGGATTGTAGAGCCATATATTGTATGGGGGTACCCAAATCTGAAGTCAGTAAATGAACTAATCTACAAACGTGGTTATGGCAAGATCAAAAAGAAGCGAATTGCTTTGATAGATAACGCTCTGATTGCTCGATCTCTTGGAAAATATGGCATCATCTGCATGGAGGATCTGATTCATGAGATCTATACTGTTGGAAAACGCTTCAAAGAAGCAAATAACTTCCTGTGGCCCTTTGAATTATCTTCCCCAGGGGGTGGAATGAAGAAAAAGACCACCCATTTTGTAGAAGGTGGAGATGCAGGCAACAGGGAGAATCAGATCAACAGGCTTATTAGAAGAATGAACTAAGGTGTCTTCCATGATTATTTTTCTAAGCTGGTCAGTTAATAAACAGTATCTGCTCTCAATTGAAATGTATTTTTGTATTTGTGATTTCTTTTGTTGTTAGCCTTTGTCTTCCCTTCACTATGGTGGCAAGTCCTGTGTGATAAAATTAAGCCAAATCAATAGCCCATTACATGCAAAATCAGGGTTTAGATTGTGTGAAGGACATCTCTTGGGTTTTTAAAAGGCTTTTCTCAGCTACTCAGGGCGTACAGCCTATGGGGTAGTCCTGCAAAAAAAATTAAAAAATTTTTTAAAGGCTTTTCTCTACAAAAGATCTTAGCTTTTTGTCTTTGAACTGTGCTGAGTGATTCAAAATGGGTTTATTCTAAGCCTGTTTCACAAGTATTTGTACATGATTTGTAGGTAAGATAATATAACTGGTTTATGAAAAAAATTGAGTTTAGTTCTAAAATTCATTTCTCAGGCCTTAGCTTGTTTATAAACTACCATGTAAATGGGTTGTTTTCCTCTTGCATTCCATTTTTGTGTTCTTTTGCATCTTTTGCAATACTTACATACTAATAATTGTTTCATATTGTGGTTACTGTGAAGGAAGAAATGAAATTGTGCCCAGGGATGTAAATTATTTTTGAGCACATGGTGAAATTATTGAGCAAAAACTTGAAAGGTTTTGGGTATTTTATAAATAACATTCCTCTGTATGTCATGTATCATCTCAGACTAGCGAACAATGTAGAGTGTAACACGAAGTACATACAATAAAAGTGAAGAGTGTGGCCGGGCGCGGTGGCTCAAGCCTGTAATCTCAGAATTTTGGGAGGCCGAGGCGGGTGGATCATGAGGTCAAGATATCGAGACCATCCTGGTCAACATGGTGAAACCCCGTCTCTACTAAAGATACAAAAAAAAAATTAGCTGGGCATAGTGGCGCGTGCCTGTAATCCCAGCTACCCAGGAGGCTGAGGCAGGAGAATTGCCTGAACCCAGGAGGCGGAGGTTGCGGTGAGCCGAGATCACGCCACTGCACTCCAGCCTGGGTAACAAGAGCGAAACTCTGTCTCAAAAAAAAAAAAAAGTAAAAAGTGTTTGTGGTCCTCAAAAAAAAAGAAAACGTTAAATGAAAGAAATTATTGAAATTTGAACTAAGATGATAGTGAACAAATAGCCCACAGAATATTAACAGTTGTCTTAATTTCCTTTCTTATTATTCAAAGTATATGCTCATAAAGTGCACCAATACTAGTGTGGAGTTGATGGTTTTTTCCATATATACGTACCTATGTAACTACCGTCTAATTCAAGATGGAAGATATCTCTGCTTTCTTAGCTGGAGAAGACCAACTTCATGCCCCTTCTCAGTAATATCTCCCCATAGAGTTCATTATTCTGACCTTGATCACCATAATTCATTTGGTTCTGTTCTTGAAATGTATATAATTTAAATCACACAGCAAGATACATATATTTAATTTTTAAATATACATTCGAAAAGTACAGAAGCTACGCCTCACTCCCAGCTCTAACCTTCAGTCTCCTGGTTTTTCTACCCAAAGGCAACCAGTGATATTACCTTTTCTTTTTAGATAGGGTTTCTCCCTGTTGCCCATGCTGGGGTGCAGGGATGCAATCATAGTTCACTGCAGCCTCACATTCCTAGGATCAAGCCATCCTATTGCCTCAGCCTCCTGAGTAGCAGGTACACACCACCACAACTAGCTAATTTTTAATTCTTTTATTAAGAGAGTCTCGCTTTGCTGCCCAGGCTAGATATCACCTTTTGCTCATCTCTACAGAAATATTTATTCATATATACAAAATCCATATGCATATACATAGTTTTCTTCTCTTGAAATCGCCTTTGCAAAAATTATAACAATGAGGAAATTATGAATGACAGTGAATAAGATATGAACTAACCAACCCCCATCTAGCCTTTAACCTTCAAACTGGCCTTAATTGTTCCTGGGCTTGTGCCAAGCTAACTTTGGGAGACATTTAGTTTATTGTTTAAGTGACAACCGCCCTTCCCCAAAACTATACCACTTTATAAAGCTAATGAAAGCTAATCCATTCACCAAGTTATTAGGATGAGAGGACCCTGAATTCTGCTAAGGTGTAGACTTAAACGATTACCAGCCATTACTCTGGAGGTCACAAAAATTGCAACTCCCCTAATTACTCCCGCCGATAACATCACTATTGTAGAACCTAAGATTGGCCTTTTGAGAAGTCTTTTCAGGTTTCTACATTTCTGAAGACCAATGTACAAACATCTCACTAACCAGTCCTGTGGCTCACCCAGAAGCAGACTCCCTGGCCTCCCAAACCACCCTTGAAAAACTGTACCCTCCAAATTTTCAGGGAGATCGATTTGAGTAATAACTCTGTCTACCATGTGGCGTGCCTGGCCTCATATCAATTAAACTTTATTGCAATGCCTTGGGCTCAGTGAATTGATTTTGTCTGTGCAGTGGGCAAGAAGAACCTATTGGGTGGTTACACTCTCAAGAAGTTTGGAACGCTGCTGAAAATTTATAAATCAGCTGGGTGGATGTGGTGGCATGTGCCTATAGTCCCAGCTACTTGGGACGCTAAGGCAGGAGGATCCCTTGAGCCCAGCAGGTCAAGGCTATAGTGAGCTGTGACTGTCTGCTGCACTCCAGACTGGGTGACAAAGCGAGACCCAGTCTATAAATAAATACATTTAAATAAATGAGAAGAAAAGGTAGTGACATACTATAGCATTTAGGAATATGTTTAGCTACAAATAACAGAAACTCAAAAACAATAGCTTAAACAGGAAGTTTGTCCCATGAAACAAGAAGTCTGGGGCAGTCAGGAGGTTCAACAGGCTGCTGTTTCTGTTTTTCACCTCCGCCGTCCTTTAGAATGAAGCTTTTGTCTTAATGCTTATTTCCTCTTTGTTGCAAGATAGCTGCTGCATCTACAGATATTACATCTGTATTCAAGACAGGGAAAAGAAGAAAGGGGAAGGTGGGAAGGGAATACGCCTGTTAGGAAAGCAAATACTTTCACAGAAACCTTTTGTTTCTATTTCATGGGACACTACTGAATTATACGGCCCCTCCAGCTGTATGACACTCCAGTAAACAAATATTTTTAGTTTGGCACACCGGACAAAATTAGTCTTCTTTAGAAAGAAAGGGGATGAGAATTGCCATGAATAGATATAAGGAAAGCCTCAGCCTCACTGTATTATTTGTTAAATATTAAGAAAGTTATGGAATACCAAGAAATGTTAGTTTTGGATAAATACCTATCCATGTTCATTTTTGCTGTCCTTACTATTACTTTGAGGCAAAAGGTAAACTAAAGTACTTCTAAAATTTCTTCTCATGTGTTATTATATACAGGTCCATCTCTTTAAACCTATAATTGCAAAATATAAAAGCAAAACAAGCAAAAGTTTGTGTAACCAATTTTGTGACAATAACCTGATATGAGTCAAGGAGAGGCTATTTCAAGTCTTTATTCATATGATTTAGTGTGAATGGTTTATATGGTAAAGAAATATTAATGTTTGATTAAAGAGTACTGCCCAAGACCCTACTCGGGATATTACATAATAAAGGGGAATCTTCTAACTTCGAAAAGTTCTGAATTCTCAAACACCTCTAAACCCAATGGTTTAAATAGGGAATTATGGAACTATGCTTAGAAAGATGACTTCAATGTAAATACACAATTTGGCAGAAAGCTTAGGGGAATCACATAAACAACTAAATGAAGGCAGGCAGAAATGAGAAAAGAAATCCTGAAACTTTAAGAATCTGCGACAATATCAGATAAATATGTTGCTTAAATTAGACTAATTTAAACCATTTTTATAAAGTAGTCACTTAGAATGAAGACATCAAAAATTCTTCCTAAATTCTAAACACTGCATACATTTGAATGCTGAGCTAGTCCCAAGGCTCATCCCAAAAATATCACTGACCAGTAGGATTTAATTTTAATATCTTCCCCCTTCAGGGGCATCCTTGCTGCAGGATATCACAAGGTTAAAAGGTAAAGCAGCCACACAAAATGTCTTTGCTTTTGTTTGTTGTTCTGAGATGATCCTCCAGCTGAAAATATCTAAGCAGATACTTTTCTCAGGTTTGCAATGCAAATGATATTTAATAGTCCCCTGTGAGTGCTTTGTGTGTGTTTACCAAATTTCTGCTAAAACACATTTATTTATATGATAAATATGATAACCAAATTATTCCATGTATTATCTTTTCAACATTCATGTTATACTGTACAAGCACTGTATTATACAAATATTGTATAATATAGTATTGTAAAGTACAAAAATACAATAAACTAACCTTACTTCAGCTCTGCAGGGTTGCTGTGTAAGCGGCAGGTAAGTGATTAAGCCAGACTATAACTACAGCAGTGCTTCTCAAAGTTTCATGCGCCTACAGATTATGGGTTGGGGTGGAGGGTTGTTAATATGCATTCTGACTTAGTGGGCCTGGTGTCAGGCCAGAGATTCTGCATTTCTCCCAAGATTTCAGGTGATACAGATGCTGATTGGTAGGCCACACTTTGAGTAGTAAGACACTAAAACGTCTTATAACTCTAAATTTTCATAATCCTTTGTGAAAGGATTGCTATAATGTATATGTGAAATGGACTATGGAAACATAAAATAATGAATGCTTACTATTGTTAGTCACTTGGAAAGAAAACATGTATCTCAGAATATACAGAGTCTTAGGGGAACTCCATGTGATTTAGAAATCTAGCCAGCTTGCCAAGAGGATAATAATTGAGGTGTGGGTGAAAACCTCCAAAGACTAGAAACCTTTGCTCTGACATGCACCCTGAATATGGTTGTCCCCAAGCCAAGATTTTACTCAAAGGTAATTAAGCCCAACCTTGAGAAAACATGCATTTTCAAGTGACTCTTGAACTCTCAGCCTCAAGTGGAGTTAGGCCATTCTGGAGAAACCAATTAACATCTTGCACCTATTACTTGCAAGGAACAATTAGGCCCCCCAAACAAACAAGATGTTAGCTGATTAATAGGCCCTAAAGGTAGAACAAAGTGGAGAACT